CGTCAAGGCGTCTTGGACAGATCGTTCGGCGATTCGGGGTTCTCTTGGACTGTCTTTGGGGCCTCTTGAGACACTCTTGGCCCGTCTTGGGGCTTCTTTGGGCTCCGGGACTCCCAGGGGGGGCGTCGTATCTGACCCCCCCCTGTGGACCCCCCCCCGGGATCCCCCCCGGGACCCCCCCAGGGCAACCCCCCCCCTTCCCGGCGGGGGAGGGATCGAAGGAAAGGGACTTCAAGGGATTTCCCTTCGACTCAATTACGACGTTGCTCAACTTCGCTTTGGCTTGCGCGCTGAGGAGGTCCCTGGGAAGGGGGGGAACTTCAACGAGCCCAGGGAAAGGGGGGAGGCAGGGAAAGGGGACGACAGAGACGACGACCAACGAATGACGGAGATGACGACTTGAACGAACAAGCCCCTCACACACGCCGACAGGGTCGGCGGATTTTGGCGTCCGAACTTCAATAGCGGGCGGCTGCTCGCGTCCAGGCCGAACATGACCGTATCGCGATGACCGCTCGCTGTGGAACAGGCATAGGAAATGCAGAAATCCTTGGCCTCGGAGCAGCCAGTGCGAGCTACTGCAGAGCTCCGAGAACTGGCAGACTGGGTCGAGGCCTCTGTGATGGCCGAGAAACGGGCTCAGGCTCTCGAACAGAACATCGCAGAGCGGGCCAAGAACACCATTCGGGGGCTGGGGAGACCAGGTCGAACCGCGGAAAGGGGGGGTCTGTGCCCCCCCCGCTACCCCTCCCTGGTTCGAACTAGGGGGGGTGTTCCGTGCCCCCCCCCCCTCCCCCCTTCCTTCAGTTTCCACGCAGGACGGGTGGCCCCCACCCGGTTTCGAATGGAGAGGGAGGGGCGGGGCTTCTTCCTGTGCCCCCCCCTTCCCCTGGTTCCCAGGCAGGTGTGGCGCCCCCCCCGCCCCCGTTCCCCTGGAGGGGGGGGGGACTTGTTCACCCCGCCCCCCCCCCACGCACGGTTTCACGGAGATGGGGGGGCATTTTTCCAGTCGAGCGACAGCAGATCGCGCTCCCTCGGTTATTAGTGGCACCTCGGGCTTCGCGAGTGCATGCCATGGAAGATAGGGGAGGAGGAGGCGGGATGGTTCAGCAGGAGACTGACGACGACGAGCGCACCGACGACGGCAAGTACGACCCATGACGACGAGGGGGATGACGAACGACGACGACGACGACGAGGAGGACGAGGACGAGGACGACGACCGACGACGACAACGACAACGATGACGGAGGACCGACGGCGATTACGACGAAGGTGGCACGACGACGACGACGACGACCAATGCGAGGACGACGACGGAGGACCGACGACCGACAACGACGACGGCGGGGACGACGACGGCGGACTACCGTTGATTGTCGACGGCGGACGGTGGCGGCGTGAGGAGCTCGCCAAGCTGCTGCTTGAGCTACCCGAGGGCTGCATTCTGTGGCGCATGCACGAGGTGGAGAGGGGACCGCGGCAGCGGGCCTCGGACCGGCATTCGGCGCCAGCTGTGCACGTGCGCTCATCAGCCACATGAAACAAGCCCGGCGGAGGGTTGTTGGGCTGGGGCCCTTGCTGGGCTCCTGGGCCGTCCAAAAAATATTCAATATGAAAAGCCAGTGACGCGGGGGAAAAGGTTTCGAGTGCACTGCCCAAGGGCCAACTCTTTAGGTGATGGTGTAGGTGCCTGGAGGCCCTCCCCCACCGTGGCAGGCTGCGAGCCGCTCTGGGGACGAGGGCGCCGGCCACGCGGCATCGCGAGTGCTGCCACAGAACGTCTCGGCCAGAGCGTAGATTCATGGATGTTCAGCCATGATGGCATCATTTTTGTTCGGCCATTGCTTTCCTCAGCAGGCGTGCAGATGCTTGCCACAAGGTGTGAAGGCGCCCCGTGATACTTCAGACAGCCCTCGTGCCGCCGGCGAAGCGATGTTGTGAAAAACTGGTCCCGAGAAAGTGGTCTAAAGTCTAGACGTCGGGGGGTCCACGTTGCGAAAAAAACACGACGTCGGGGGTCTAAGACAAGGGAGCTGGACACGTATGAGCGACGCCAAAAAACAGGCTCGACTGCGCGGACAATCGCGCGTAAGCTGCCCGCGTAAGGTCGCGTGGAAGCGCCCTCGTTTCCAATGTAGCGCAGGGTCGTCGTCGTTATCGTTTCTTTTCATTGCTCCTAAGGAGGCGTTCCAGAAAGGGCCTTGCCCTTGAAACAAAAAGGGTATCGCCCCTGGCGCGTCTCGCCCCAGACGGAAGGCGTCGGAGGGCCGGAGGAAGCTGGTCGAGGCGAGGAGGTGGCGGGTCCGCCAGCGGAAACCAGCGGCAGGCCAGAGGACGGCGGCGGAAACAAAAGTGGCAGCTACGCGTAACAGTGATCTTTCCGGCTCTCTTGGCTGCGGCCACCCTGGTCCTTCCGCAGTCCCACGGGTGCCTACGCCCCTGCACTTATTTCCTCGCAGCTCGCAGACCCTGGCCGCCGTCCACCCTGGCAGCCAGCCCCTTCTTGCAGCGCGTTGCATGCGTGCACCCTGGCAGTGCAGCTCTTCTGCAGTTGCTGTCAGCCCGTTCCCACTCGCCGGCCTGGCCGCTGAGGTGCTGCGTGAGGTTTCGGCCCGCCGCTTTAGGTTAACTCGTCTTTGCGCGCCCCGCTCTGACTGGACTCGCCGCTGGCGCGCTCGCTTGCGGCCGCTGACTAAAAAATAACACTGACCTTTCGCCGGAGTGACCTTGTGGAGCGGGTAATCAGGGGTCCCGCCAGCACTGGCTGGCGCATGGGAGGGGTGTAATGGGCCCATCAAAGGTACTTCCCGTCTGGGCCTTCCACGTGAGCCCACCTCAGGGCCTCAAACCACTGACGGTGGCATGCTTCCTGCGCGACTAGGTAATATCGAAACCTCACCCTCTCACTTTCATCTGTCTCATCCAAAATTCAAACATGCATGCAATATTCAGGGAAAGCGAAAGGCCCTTCAAGGCCGCTAACTGCAAACAGAAACAACAGGCGCCTTACTAGACAGCTGACAAACCGACATGCCATCCAACGTGCGTCGTACGTGTGGTCACCACGGTGGCGGATTTCTCGATGAAAGCCATGTTGGGCCACGTTTGCGCAGAGGAGAGACACGCGATGAAGAGGGGGAGCGAAGAGATTAGCAAGGGATGTTGTAGGATAGCGAGGAAGACGAGGAGGAGGAGGAGGAAGAGGAGGAGGAGGAACAGAAGGCGGAAGAGGAGGAGGAAGAGGAGGAAAAGGAGGGGGGTGGCGGTCAGCATCCTCAGCAGCACAGACGTGTATGAGGGACAATGCCACCGCCATCACCAGCCATCGTCACTCACCACAGCCACTTTGGCCAGCTTGATATGTTGGTTGCGAGTTCGCATCAGAATGCTGACGTTCTGTCAAGAGCTGCCGTGATTGAGGATATCGTGGCTATTGTTTCTGCGTCAAAGGGCAGCTGTCGTGTCGATGGGATTAAAAAATGGAGCGATGCTGCTCTCACTGTGGAACGAATATTGCGAGATAATCCATTCACCAGTGTTCGAGCGTTGACAGAGCGCATCAAGTCTCATGTGTGCGGCCTTGGCGGCGATACGAACAGAAAAGATGCAGTCTTGGATATTAAGTTGTTGCCGAATGTGGTTTGGGAGCTCACTCAAAATATTATTGATCAATATGATATCGATGTCGTGCTGCGGCGCACTGCATATCAACCCAGCGTGAGATCGACGGTGCCGAAGTCCAGACGATATTTAACTTTGCCGAGTGTTGCAGCTGCAAGCCAGGCCATTGTTGAATATGAAAAGTGGGACCACGCTGAGCTGGTACAATTGATTGCTTTGAGAGATGCACAGCTCGCTCAAGCCGCGAGAGACATTGACAAAGCAAAGCGGGCACAGTGCAGAGCGATTGATCGGTGTGATGCATTGGTTGTTAAGAATACTGAGTTGAAGGAGCAACTTGATGAGCTGATGCGCCGCGTGAACTACAGGGTTGGCACGAGGAACGTCAGCATGCACGGCGGATATGCCATGGCAATTCGAAAATCGAGAGGGCACGTTGCTTTGAGCACTGCTGTAGCTCTTGTCGCTGGCGATGACATTCATGGTGCATTTCTTGACAAACATATTGCGACTCGGTTCGAGCTCAGAGTCAATGCTGCCCAATGCGTTGCGTCCAAAATCGATTGCGACGATCTGTATTCTTACGTGTGCGAGCTTCCAGACTCGCCGACTCAAGCCGTTCACAAGATGCAGGCCTTCTTGTTCAAAGGGGATGCGACGCATTCAGAGGCTCTCCAAAAGTAAGGTGTTCATATCATCTCTCCAGTCTTGTGCTTTGGGGGCCGCTCAAGTCGCATCTGCGGAGGTCCAGGTCTCGTCGGGCGCTCACCTTTCTCAGGCGCTCAGGCCGGCGGCGACGGCGACCGATTGCGACCTCCAGTTCTCGCGGCGTGGCGACGCCCAGGGCAGCGGCATGGATGTAAATACTGAGAGTTGGAGGAGAGAGTGGGAGGAAAAGGAGAGATAGGAGAGAGGATTGAGAAGGATCGTAGGAGTAGTGGCAGAGGGAAAGGGAGAGTAGGAGACGGAGCAGGGGAACGTGCGAGGAGGGGTAGGATGCAGGAGAGACTCGGAGAGTAGAAGGGAGTAGGGGGGGAGAGCGGGAGGGTGAAGGAGTGAAGGGTTTTTTTTTTTTCTGTGCCTGCAGGGGCTTTACGGATTCATTAAATCTGGGTTTCGGTCGCGTGGCGCCGCAGATCTAGTGCAGCGCATGAACGCTGGCGACGAATCGCAACTCGCCATGTTCAACTTCGGCTTCGATCAGGGCCCTGACAACCAAGGTGTGTTGAAAATCATTGCAGGGGTCACTTCAATCTCAAATCGGTTAACGTTCACTGTGGTATTGTGCAATTTGCACGCCTCGCACTTGTGCGTGCAAGCGATCCTGGCAGTGTTGGGTCCGTAGGTCTGGGTTGATGCTGAAACGCTGTGCACGAAATACTTCAGTGCCGTTGCAACGATTTCAAATATGTGGAGGAGCACTGGAATCATGAGAAAGTTGCAAGATGCCATCGTGGATCTGCACGGCGAAAGTGCAGAAGAGACCGCCCGCTGCAACAAAATGCCTGGTCGAGTTCTCAGGGGTCGGTGGGGTCCATCGAGCAGATGGAAGAGCTGCTCGTCGGTGAGATGTCTGTCCTGCCAGAGCCCTTCAACCGCATCCTAGCCAAACCATCAACGAACAAAAAAAAAACACAATGCAGGTGTTGGTGACGAGGGGGCCGAACCGTTTCAGGGACAACAATCGCTGTGCAAATCCAACGCGCTATCTTTGTTGAACTCAACGGTTGTCAATATCATGCCCATCGTATCAAAGGTGTCGAAGGCTCCGATCGCGCGTTTCCTGTGCTGGGCCCAGAAACAGATCAAGCTGTTCAACCAGAAATGCGCCGCCGAGAGCACTTATCTTGGACCAACCCCTCTGCCGAACTTCGTCGCGGTTGAAAGCGGTGCAACATGCCAGACGATAAGTGATATGCTAGGCCCAGCATCCATGGGCAATTCGAAACTACGGGGCAGCGCGTTCTCACTTGTGCCTGACGGGAACGCAGCACTTCGTGGCCAATGCCTTCTGTTGGTACTGACGTGTGTGCTGACGTGTGCGTCGACTTGGTGGATGAGATGTGTATCAACATTTGTTCGGTTCCCGCTATGCTTATTGCGCGTTGCATCGCGCCCTCATGTCGAAGCCGACGACAAACGTAAATCATTTGGAACAATGTGGGTCGATGTGCCACTGCGCTGCTTACAGTCGAACACATCAGAGTTCGCTGCGAAGTTGAAGACGAACTTCCACATATATATCGAATCCATGAGAGGTAACGGACGATGCGCACCCAGGATGTTTGCGTATCTTCTGGTATGGAGCCGACGCACAAGACATTGAAGGTCGCGCGTCTTGCTTGCAAGTTATGGCGAAAAGGGCCCCTGGCCTCCAGGTACCAGCAGCCAACAACCGCATGAAGGTCAAATGTGGTATTAAGCTGTCTGCGGAAGATTGCTGTGAGGTCCACGGTCAGGTCGTCCAGGTCATGCAATCAGTGGGGTGGTCTTACAAGTTTACCAGGGCGATTTATTGAATCGCTTCGCTCATTCCGCCTGCCCATTTCGCATGACTGAGCCTCTTGGGGCCGCTGGGGGGCCTCTTCGGCGTCGCTTGGGGGCCTCCTGAGGGCCTCTTGGGGGCTTTGGGGGCCTCTCAGGGGCCTCTTGAGGCCTCCTGGGGGCTTCTTAAGGCCGAGGGCTCGATGCCTCTGGGGCCGTCTTGGAGCCCTCTTGGGCCATCTTGGGGCCTTCTTGGGAGCTTCTTGGGCCCTCTTGGGGCGATCTTGGGGGCCTCTTGGGCCGTCTTGGGGCGTCGGGAAGCAGAAAAGATGGACGCGCCAAAATCTGCCCACAATCTAAGGAAAAGTAATGATTTTTGCTTCTTGGGGCCCTCTGGGGAGTGCTCTTGGAGGCCTCTTGGGGCGTCTGGGGGCCATCTTGGGCGTCTTGGAACGATCGTGTGGCATCTCGGAGCACTCTTGAACCATCTTGGAGGGCTCTTGGCGGCCTCGTGGCCCTTCTTGGGGCTCTCTGGAGGGCCGCGCGGGCGGCGCCCAGGAGGAAAACCATCTCTGGCCCGAGTCTGCCGGGGATCGCCCGGGGTACTTTTCGCCCGGGGACCCCCAGGGGCCGCCCCGCGCGCGCGAAGTATAAGTTTCATCTAGCAGTTACCAGAGATCATAGCACGCCTCTGGCCCGTTGGGCCGGCGAATTCTTGCGGCGTGGACCTGCCCGCTAGCGGGGCGCGCGCGTGCGCTCGCCAATTCTCATTGCTGGATCAGTTTTGCAAGGCCGTGTCGTTGAACGCAAGTGGGCGCCGCGAGGTTGAGATCGGCCCCGAGAAGATCTACCCCATAGATGGTCAATGGTTCCTACTCTCTCCTTGGACCTTCAAGCGGTGCAGCATCGCGTTCGAGATGAACCCGCCCGTGGTGGTAGACTGCGGCGTGTCGCTGAGCAGGATGCACAGGCCGTTCAGCGCGCGCTGGTTTCACGATCTCCTGAAGGCCATCCTGGCCCCTGTCCTCGGCGAGGACCCGCCCGCGAGAGCTACCAAGGCTATAAGGAGGATGAGAAGGATGAGGAGTAGGGGGGCGGGGGGGGGGGGGGGAGGGGGGGGAGGAGGAAGAGCAGGATGAGGGAGGAGGTGTGGGGGGGATTGCAAGGACTTCAGGAGGATGATGAGGAGAGGGATGATGAGTTTTTTCGTTGTTGAAGCCTGTGGCAGAACAGTCAAGCAACAAGCTGAGCAACAACATCAGCACCTCCGCACCTGAAGGCCCTCTTGGGCCCTTCCGTGGTCCGAAATCCTTTGGCGCCCCCGTGGTCCGACACAGGTTTGAATCAGCAGAGAAACATCGCCTTCGCAAGTGCAGCTGCGCCAATATGCAGCTACCTGGACGTCGACAGACCAGCGCGAGGTGCATGGCGGACCTGTCGCCACCTTTGCACTGGAGGTCGTTCGCCCACCGAAGCCGCCCTGCGCGGCGTCTGCGCCTGCTGGCGTCGACGCCGCCGACCCTGCCGATCCTGCTGTTCCCGACGATGGCGACGGTGGCAGTGATCTTGAGTTCGGCGCAGACCTCGCTCGCATCATCGAGGAGGCCGAGGCCGCGGCCGAAGCCGACGAGGATGCTGGCGCTGGCGTTTTTGGCGGCGCTGACATCGCTGATGATGACGTCGGCGATGATGGTTCTATCCCAGAGCCTGTGCCCGAGCCTGATGTCCACGATGAGCCTCCACTTCCACCGCCCGCTGATGCTCCTCCGCTTTCAGATGGGCTGCTGGATGCGATAGTGGCTGCTTGCGGGCGCGGCCGCGATCAGGTCGGAGTTGCTCGTGAGAACGCCAGGTTGCACTCGGATGGGAAGGCGATCGTCGACAAGACGATATCATTGATGGCATTTGTTGAAGAGCGTGGTGAGATTGAGGTCTGTTCTATTTATTGGGGGGCTGGTGCGAACGAGATGGGGGGGAGACGAGTCAGGTTAGACAACAACGATCGAGTTGTTTTCGTCGTTGCCCATGCCACGCCTGTTCTCAAGTTGCGCAACTGCTCTGAGGTGAGGGCAATAATTGTTGATGCGCCCGTCTCAATGGCTAAGGCCACGGGCGCAGGGAGAGAGGATGTGCCCGAGTGGTGTCTGGTCGTGCAGCAGTGGGGGCTTGCTCAATTATATGCTGGGCCTTTCAGTGGCACAGGAAGCGACGGCATGCGCTGCGTTGTGTGCACGCTTGCTGATGAACGTGGGGTCGCCTCTCCATGCAAGGACAAGAATGCCGATTCTGTCAGCTGCAAGCGGTGCTTGAAATATTGGCATACTGATTGTACACTGGCACTCGGCAACGTATTCAATGTCATGGACGACGGGTTCGTATGTGGCGTGTGTAGCAAAGCTGGTGGTTGATCTGTTTCTCGGGATCGAGATTGCCTGGCGGTGTTCGCCAGACTAGCGAGCGCTTGACCAATTGAGACTGAAGCTGCGTCATCATCGTCATCATCATCCTCGCCATCGTCTCATCATCGTCGTTCGCATCAACTTTTCTGGCGCGGTGAACGTCACGCAGATAGCATTCGTGATGTGGTCGAGACCACGCGCTTGATACATCCTTGCTTTCGGTCGGAATTCAGTTGGCTATCTCATGGCAAGCGTCTGGTCCAGATGGCTACCCCGTGGCAAGCCTGATCTCCCGATGGCTACCCGGTGGCCATCCAGGAGCCCAGATGGCTGTCCCGTGGCCATCCTGAGGCCCATATGGCTATCCCGTGGCCATCCTGCGGCCCAGATGGCTATCCCTTGGCGATCCTGAGGCCCCAGATGGCCACCCCGCGGCAATCCTGAGGCCCCAGGTGGCCATCCCGTGGCAAGCCTGAGCCCCAGATGGCTACCCCGTGGCAGTCCTGAGACCCAGATGGCTACCCCGTGGCAAGCCTGAGACCCCAGATGGCCACCCCGTGGCAATCCTAGGCCCAGATGGCTACCCCATGGCAATCCAGAGGCCCCATGTGGCTATCCCGTGGCAATCCTGAGGCCCAGATGGCTACCCCGTGGCAATCCAGGGTGCGTGTGGGGGGAGCATATGGCTGTCCCGTGGCAATCCCAAGCTCCAGATGGCTACCCCGCGGCAATCCATGGGGGCAGATGGCTACCCCGTGGCCATCCCGAGACCCAGGTGGCTACCCCGTGGCAATCCACAGGGGCGGGGGGGGCAGGTGGCTATCCCGTGGCAATCCCAGGCCTCAGATGGCTACCCCGTGGTAATCCAAGAGCCAGATGGCTATCCCGCGGCAATCCCAGGCCCCAGATGGCTACCCCGTGGCAATCCAGGGGGGATGGGGGGGGGGGCAGATGACCATCCCGCGACAATCCTGAGGCCCAAATGGCTACCCCGGGGCAGTCCCGAGGCTCCGATGGCTACCCCATGGCAATCCTAGAGCTCGAATGGCTATCCCGCGGCAATCTGCGGGGCCCGAGGCCTGCCCGAGGCTTCAGGAAGCGCCGGTTTGAAATCGGCGGGGCTGCCCCCCTCCCGACGGGTTGCCCTGCGTGAAACGCCTTACGCCCGTAGCTATTGCTATTTGTGCTCAAGGTTTAGTTTGTGCTCATAGCGCGTGTTCACCACCCACCACTAGACCAGGAGAGAGAGAGAGAGAGAGAGAGAGAGAGAGATCACCTTGAGTTACTTTCGCAATGTCGAGCCTGGGCGCCTCTTCTTCCGCTGACGGGAGCCAGCGTGCCCCTGCCGCCGCTGTTGCGGCCGTGCGCTGGCAGAGTGCACCATCGCCGAGATCGAGGGCGACGAGTGCGACGACTGCGGCCAGTACGCAGACTTCGCGGATCGCTGCGGAGGGGCGAGGTCGCCCCTGGAGCTCCTCGGCATCTGCGAGCAGCTCTACTGTGAGAGCGCTGACTGCCGCCTCTCGCTCGTGGACGAGACGGGCTTGTGGACTACCGACCGCCACCCCCTTAACGCAGAGGGGCGCGGCGACGAGGGCAGCGTCTCGCAGCGGGGGGAGAGCGTCACTAAGATCGGCATCATAGACATTCGCAAGGGGCCATGTTACATGAAGTGCCCAGAGCACTTGAAGCGCGAAGTTCGTCCAGGAACGCAGCGCTTGCTGTTCCACTGGGGCGCCCTGCTCGGGGGGGCAAGGCGAGCATTCGCCAAGGACGTCCAGAACATTAGTCGCGCAGTGCAGCTTTCCGTCGCGAGCGGTGTGAAGGCGTGCAAGGAGTTCAACCCGCGCGTGCCGAAGGACGCCATCTGGTTTCTCATCGACGTTGGCAACGTCGTCAACGATCGGCAGACGCCGAAGACGTTTGTGGAGATATTGGAGAGCGCGGTTGGCATTGAGAAGGCATGGACGAATAAGAAGAGCGCGAACGGTTGGTCTGCTCCAGCTTTGGGTGGACAGGCGAAGCTCGAGGAGTGCAAGTTCGAGCTCATCAAGACCATGTCGAAGGATTGGAGGACGCATCGCAACTACGAGCTGTGCAACACGTTCTACAAGGAGAGCAAGAAGGTGTTCATCGACGGTGCTACCACTGTGTGTGCGGAGTTCAAGAGGCGCGCCCTTGCCGAGATTGCGTTTGCGCACCCTATGGCGTCGAAGCATGAGCGGACCTTCATCGTCCTTGCGTCTGTCCTTCGGAAGTTGCGCTACAACCACCCTCAGTTCAGCGTGGACGTCATCATGCAGTACCTCCCCATGACCCCATGCAACAGGCAACATCGGCAAGGGCTTCCTGCATTCCGAAGGACTGGCGCCCATGGACGTTGTCAAGGAGGATGCGATCGACAGTCTCCTGGAGTCAATGAAGGATGGGGGCCCGAAGAATATGCGCCACCGCCACGTCGATTCCTCCTCTCTCCTCGTTCCAGTGAGAGGGAGGTGGGGAGGGTGGTGGTGGTGAGGTATATTTTTTGGCTCCCCAGAGGAGTCGGCAGTCTGGAAGCAGCTCAAGGCGGACAAGGCGAAGCGCCAGGCTGCTCAGGAGGCGCAGTCAGTGGCACAGCCAGAAGGCGGAGCCGCGGGTGCCGAGAAGGATCTGAAGGGGCTTAAGAAGAGCCAGAAGAAAGCCGAGATGATCAAAATGAAAGCCCCGAGAGCAGACCTCGTCATCGACGAAGAGAACGACGTGGAGTTCCTGCGCCACCCTCGCGAGACCATCGAGTACATGGCGAAGATCGACTCGACGAGGCACGGCGACATCGCGTCCTCCAAGGACCTTGCTATCCGTGGCTGCCCGATGGGCTCTGTGGAGCTTATGAAGGGGGGGGGGGGGGGCAAGTCCAAGCTGAACGGGTTCTCGGCACTTCGCAAGATGGCCATAGCCGCGCTGCGCAAGAACGCGAACTTGGCGCCGAGGGCGTCTGATCCAGATTTCCCTGATGGCGAACAACCGGGGACTGTTGAAGAGCAGGCTGCCTTGGCGACGGCGGCTATCGAGGACAAGACGATCGCATGGGCTACCGCGGGCGAGAAGGCAGAGGAGTACACCTCGCAGATTGCAGCGAGTAAGGACCACTTCGTCGAGAACAGCAGCATGCTCCCCATCATGGGTCGCATGTGCGCTGCGAGGGCTTTGAGCAACGCGATGGGCAGGGCCGCTGAGATTATGCAGAAGCAGGCGGTCTTCGAGTCCTTGAAGGAGGCGGCGCTCGCTATTGCCCAGGCTGCCATTGAGGAGGTGCGCGTGGTGATTCTACCAGAGTGGGACATCATCGTAGACTTCATCGCCAAGGCAATGGCGCAGGACAAGCTAGGCGACCTCGCGCTCACCGGCTGGAACAGCCTGTTCAAGCTGGACAACAACAACTTGTCCAACGGCTCCGTAATATCACCAAGGAGTTCACAGAGTACCTCGGCTTGCGGGGTAAGCCTGAGGCGGGCGCCAGCAAGCCCGTGCACTGGGAGACTTGGGCCGCGGCATGGATTGAGGAGTCCTTCAGTTGCTACGACGTGGCAGTCGCGGCCGATGGGCTCGCCTACAAAGTGAAGAAGGCCCGTGGCCTGTGTGTTCTGTAGGGGGCGACGGCAGCGCAGATGAAGCACTTCGTCAAGAACGACATCAAGAAGGAGCTCAAGGTATCTGCACAGGTGGACGTCTTCATGAACGAGAAGAACAATATGGTGAAAGAGATCATTGAAGCGATGGGCGCGGAGCACGCGGCGGAGTTAGCCTCCGAAGCGGTTCAATCGGCTCCGACGCAAATGATATTGAACCGAGTTGCGCTGCAGACCCAGCCGGCGTTGAAGGAGAAGGGGCCCAGGTCGGAGAAGAAGAAGGATGAGAAGGCCATCCGTGACGGTCAAAAAGCAACGAGTCTGACAAGAAGGCTGTGGAGCCGCCCTTGCTGCGAGATTGGTTCACGGAGGTCCAAGAGCGAGGAGTCCGCTGTGACCAGATGGACCTCGGAGCTCATGAAGAAGGTGATCAACGCCGCGGTGTCGGAGAAGATTGCGCGGGTGATGTTGACCGAGGGCCCATGCCCCGCAGGCTGCAACCTGGCACTCGACATTAAGGAGGGGGAGACAGCGAAGGACACGAAGAAGACTTCAGTGGATATCATTCGCAAGAACGCCCCCAACGCCACCGAGTGCAGGCTCCCGTGCTGGGGGAAGGTCGTGGACGACAGCGTTGCCCAGCACTTGCCGAGGCATTCGGTCATGCAGCTGAAGCTTGCGAGCGGAGACGGGCCAGACCTCTGGCTCGACGGGGCTCAGTTTCAGAACGTTAAGCGCAGCGACTTCTGCCCAGCGTGGCTCTTCTCGCACGTGCAGCCCTCGGACAAGGACAAGGGCGCAGATGTGCAGGAGCCGCCGAAGAAGAAGGGGCGGAAGTCGGCTCAGGGAGTCAAGTACGAGCCTCACGACACGCACGAAGTTCACTACGAGCCGATGCCGATCGAGATCACCGTGAATGGCGAGGCCCACATCCTCGACTACACCAGGCCGTACCTGAAGGACGTCACGGGCGAGCGCAAGGATGTGCACGGCATCCCGTGCCACCGCAGGGCGGTGGGCAGCGAAGAGATGGACATCAAGAAGAAGGCCAGGGCGCCTATGGGCGCCTCTGGCTCTGCAGCCCACTAAGTGGGCAGAGTGGGCAGCAGGGCTCCCAGGCGCGCAACTCAATATTGAGGGAGGGAGGGGGGGGATGATGGAGGAAGGAGGGGGGAAGGGAGGAGAAGCCACGAGCCTACGCGTCACATGTTTTTGGCCAGCGGCGCCACGCAGACGCATCTTTCTCTAGTAGGTGCATCGGAATTGCTACAGCCAAATCGGAGACGCCTGAGACAGGACAGTGCGGTGACAGTTTTCCCAGGGTAGCATTTTTACTTCCTCCTTCCACTCCTACCGCTCCTCCCCTTTGCTTCTGGCAATTGCTTTTCAGTGCCTTCTCTTCCGAGTCGCGCAGTGGCTTGCGGGTCTGCCGCGCGCTGGGATTGGATGTTCTCATGGGGAGACGCCATGCAGGCGGGCTCGAGCCGCCAGGAAGCCCGAGCAAGCCTCAGGAGGCACCCGCAGGCCGCGGGAGGTCCCAGGACGCACCAGGAGGCCTGTGACGTGCTGGCAGGGGCGAGGGGGCGCCAGGCCCGCCCCCTCGCGCCCCCCCTCCACGCCAACCTTCGGAAAGAACCTCGGTGGCTCTTGTGATGTGAATTTCGCCAGACCGTTAAACCCTGAGGGCGCCTGCATCTCTCAGCGTTGTCCGTAGCTATCTGGGCTCCAACGCTCTAGCACGTCGAGCCGCAGCGTGCTGACCTCGCCCCGCCATCAGCCGTCGCGCTGCCATGCCGCCGAAGTTCTTCCAATCCGAGATCCTGCGCAAGCTCCGCGCTGGGGAAACAGAAGAGAGCATCCGCCAGGACCTGAAGAACCGGGCGTGCCCACGTGCACTCCATGAGATGCTTGTACGCAGCATTGGCCTTCTCCTTGTCTGCGTGCGGCAGTTTGCGCAACTTCTTCTTGGGCGACTTCTCGCCCCAGGAGAATCGGATCATCTTGACCTTCTTCCGATAGCCATTCGGCTTCCCGTTGGCGTCGCGGGAGCGGACCTCGTCGCCGACGTCCACGTCCAACAGGCTCAGCGCGCTGATGATCTCGGGCGTGAGGTCTTGCAGCGGCTTCGGGACGTCCTCGGGTTTCGGAACGTAGTGCTTGCGCTTCGCGTTGCAGAGCTTGCATTGCGACTTCGCCAGCTCGGGCTTGCGCTCGCGCCTGAGGTCCGCCTCGTAGAACTCGCGCGGCTGCATCGCCTGGCACTTCGGGCACATGCCCCAGGAGCCGCGGAGGCACCAGGCCTCCAAGGCCTTGGAGTAGTCGGAGAACTCCGCAGGCGGCAGTCCAGTGCCGTTGTCCACGGGCGCGTCCAGCTCTGCCCCAGATGCACGTGCCCGCCTCTCCGACCCAGGGAAGACCAGGTTCTTCGCTTACCGCTGGTCCTCGAGCACCTCCTGGCGGAACTTGCGCTTCTGCTTGCGGTCGGGCGGCTCCTGGGTGGTCTGCCGCTTCGCCTTGGCCTCGGCCCAGTCCGCCACTTTCTTCTCGGCGGGCTTGCGGCCGCGCTTCGGATTCGCCCCTTCTTCGCCCTTGGGATCCATCCCAGCCGTCTTCAGCCTCACCTTGAAGAGGTTGTACGCGGTCTTGTCCTCGAACTGATAGAGAGCCTTCAGATTACGCGTAGCGTGTTTTTTGCCTTTCTTCTGCTTGATCTTGTCTGGCAGCTCCTCGACGTTGCAGCAGAAGCACATTGTTTTTCCGTGCTGGCGAAGCGCCTTGGTGCCACTGATGGTCATCGAGAAAATGCATTCCTGCTGCTCCGCAGCGCCGGTGTCGGGCTGGGGCTGCCGCCAGCCGGCGCAGAACTCCGATGGGCGTCGGGTTCGCGCGGGCTTCTTCATCACGGGGGCTGCGTGCACTTCATCGAGGACGGCCCTGTCCCCGCCGTCGACCATCTCTTCGGGCGCCTGATGTTGAACTCTTGGATACTTCGCTTCGGGCTCAGATGCACACGAAGCTGGCCTCCTCGTTGGATGCGCCTGAGGCGGCGGCGCCACTGTTGCAGCAGGGGGTGCGTCAGGGCGCTCAGGCAAGCGCTGCTGTGGGAGTGGCATCAGCGGCGGCGACGGCGCCTCGGCGTCTGCGCTGGGCGTCTTCTTGCTCAGGCGGCGCCGTCCCGCTGCCATGGTGGCGGCACTTGCTGGACGCTTCCGCGCAGCTGGCGCCACGTGGCCCGCCTGGATGGTCACTGCGTGCTCAGGACTAGGATCGTTTCCCTAGCGAAGCAGAGTTAGAGAGTGAAAAAAAGACAGAACAAGTTTCGTGTTCTGATCTGTCGGCGCTGGACTTTAGTTATCTTGAGGTCAGGGACGAAAACAATTGATTCAGGCCAAGGTTTGGTTAACCGAGTTTCTGGACAGAGAGCAAAACGTCAGGACATCGAAAACTTCAGAGTAAACCAACTAACCCTCCAGGAGAAAAAAAATAATTGAACCTATAGAGTGGGTGATTCAAAAATCGACCTTCAGAAATCGATGGAAAGCTATCCTGGGTGGCAGCCCCAGGAGCCAGGAGGAGGCAGAGTAGCCATCACTTCCCCCCCCAACTCCTCACGATAGACCCCTCCCAGCTGGCGCACACGGACTGCGTAGATTTGTGTCCCCCCGCGGCCCCCTAAAGCCACGCAGCCAAGGCCATTTGCCTAGGATCACTCCTGCGGCCTGCGTGCCGCCGAAAGTGAGACGTCAACTCTGTTGGAGTCAGGGTTTCCGGAAGCGGGCATGTAACGCGGCTGGCTTCTGTGGCCGGCCACGCCAGGCTTCCGCATGTGAATCCGTCCGTGTGTGTTCCAGCTTCCTGGTGCACTTATAGTCGTCGTCGTCGTCGGCGGCGGCGGCGGCTTCGTCGTCGTCCGAGGCCAGGGAGCTCATCGGCCACGTGCCGCGAAGGCGGCGTGGAGGCCCCGCAGCACCCGCGGCGGCACCTCTCGGAACGGCAGGCGCGGCACAAAGCGGAGCAGCAGCGCGCCGCGGCGCCCGCCGCCAGCGCGGAGGGAGGGGCGAGGGTCGCCAGAGGCCAGGGCCGCGGCAGAGGCGCGCGGGGCTCTCGGGGGTAAGGAGTGGGTTCCCCATGTAATGATTCTTGTCAAAGGCACCACAGCTCTCAGCCCGTTCAGGCATACCCAAAGCGACCATGCCCAAAACGACCACCGTAAACTCGTTTACACGTTCTCAATGGCTTTAGTGAGTATGAAGCCAACACGCACGGCGCACGCACGCTTAGCGACCCCACTCGCCCGCTTCTCGCACGCAGGCCGAAGTCAGCCTCCAAGAGTCTTAATAAAATCAACTGGAACCCAGTGTAAGGCCTTCCTGAAAGAAAATACCTGGACCTTCAACGTGTTGAACATATCAGGGCGGAGGTTTCTCTTGGTTTTCGGCGTCTGGTGGCATTGGCTGAGCGCCGGGACCGTCAAACAAGGATTCAGGACGAAAAACCTGTTTCCGGGAAGTGGTCCAGAGCTTCGGGAACTCCGCAGTGAAAAACAGATCAAGACATCGGAGGTCTGGGAATAAGGCCTTCGAAGTGGGGATCCGACCGATCCGACTTCCATCCCAGATTTTTGTGTCTCTGCTGTTCCACCCCCCCACAAGGCTTGGAGGCCCCACCTCCAGAGTGGAGGCCTTCGATCCTCTGGGGCGAGCTTCTGAGAGTGTAGGTCTCCTCACAGGGGCGCGAATGGCGGCCTGGGCCACAATCGGGCGGGCCACAGTCTGAAACGGCCCCGGCGCCCGATGCATCCTCCAGAACTGCCAGATCTCAGAGGTCCCCGGTCTGTCCGGGCCCGGTATTGTGCCAGTCCTGGCTTCGTCTCGCACAGAAGAGCTTGCGCCCTGCCTTCATGCGGCCTCGCAGGGTAGGTGGGAGGGTCTCGACCACGTCGTCTGGTCGGCCAGGGAGCCAAGGAGTTTGGCGAAGGAATTCAATGTACAGACGCTCCAGCAGTCCACATATTTAAACATCGGGGTGTTTGCACCCTGAGACCCTTGGTCGACCAAGCGACGTGGTGTATACATCGAGCCTCTCCCAGGAGGCCTGGAGCTGCACACCATGTCAGGCAGTGAACTCTCGGAGGTCCGCGTGGCGCTCCGCAGCTCCGAGGGAAGGGGTGTACGTGGGGGCCCAGCGCGCAGCCCAGGATCTCCGCGCGGACATCCGACAGTTTATGCTCGTGCATTTTGTATCTCATCTTCCAGCACAGCCCCCCCCGCAAGAGCGGACGGTGCTTGAGGGAGCGTTTGGTTGCCCCGACCCCCCGTGAGGCTCCCGTGCATGCCTCCCCCCCCGGGCCCCCCCCCTTTCGTGTGGCCTCCAGCGAGGCCCACCCCCGTGTGCTCCCCTGGGCGAATTTTCTATGTTTTTCGCTTTTTCGTCAACGTCGCCATCGGTGTCGCCGCCGCCGTAGTCGGCGGCCTCGTCGTCGCCATCGTCACCGCCGCCGCCACCGTCGTCGTCGTCGTCGTCGTCGTCATCGTCGTCGTCGTCGTCGTCGTCGTCGTCGTCGTCGTCGACGGAAGTTCTTGAATGCTTTTTCTTGTTCCAGGCCTCCCTGGGGGCCCGCCTCGGGATCCTGCTCGGAGCGCACCCGCAGGGCAGTCGCAACTGAGGGGGAGGCTCAGCGCTTCTCTTCCGAGGGCAGGCCTCGTGGCACCCGTGCGTCAAAGCACGTACCCTTCTGGCTTCCTGTCTCGGTCTTGCGGCGCACTGCCAGGGCTGGGTAAACCGAGGCCTTTACAGTTCTTGGCCCTGGCATTGTGGATGTCCACCCAGGCCGTGGCCGTCCCTCCTCATGAGCACGGGCGTGGTAGGAGCGGACAAGGCGGCAAAGGCCCCACTCCTCGCCGGAAGCGTGCTGCTCCTGCAGGTGGTGCTGACGTCGAGGCTGTTGACTCGGACGACGACATGTGGACGAGCGACGACTACCTACGCCAGCTGTGACGAGTTCGAGGCCATGCGCTCCACTCTCACGGAGTCCGTGGGCGCGGCAGTGGGTCAGACGGTTACGGCCAACCACGACGCCCTTCTCGCCGCCATCGACAACCTTAAGCAGCAGGTCTCCAACCAGGCGGGCAACATCGACCAGCAGATGCAGGATGTGGTCCGCCTCCACGTCGACGGTTTCGCGCGCCGATCGCAGGCCAGCTCGACTCCCACGGTATGTTCCTCCGCCAGCGTACTTCTCGTATTGACGCGTAGGACGCGTAGGACTCTGAGTTGGAGCGCCTCCGCTCTGAGAGTGCGTAGTTCCGTCTTCTTGCTGTGGCAGAATAGCGTCCTCCCGCCCCCGTGCTGGTCCCTGATGGGCTCGCCCGCGACCCCGACAAGACTTTGGAAGCCATCACCAAGACTAGCTGCGACTTCCTCTCCGAGTACAAAATTGACGCGCGCGGGCAGGTCCCCACGAAGTGTTTCACGATGAAGTTCACTGACATAGTGGCGCCTGCGAGCAGGAAGGCCGCCCGTGCCCTCGCTGGTCACAAAAAGAACGGTTCCTGGCGCGAGTTCACGACCTCGGTTGCGGGCTCCGAGATTGTCGCGCGCGTGCACAATGGCCCCGACAAGTCGCCCAAGCAGGTCAGGTCAAGACGGAGATCACGCTCCGCCATTGTCGCGCGCCCCTGGCTGACGCGATTCTTCCCCACTTCAAGCTCTACTCCGACCGCGAGAGGGGCATCCTCTCGATCGGCTGGGACAAGATCCTTCGCATCGACGTCTCCCTCTTCTGGAACCCTGAGCGCCTCCAGAAGCACGGCCTCGCCAATGACGCCATGGCCCAGCTCTCTGCCCCGGTCGTCGCACCCAAGGAGCCATCCAATTGGTGTCTTTGACATGGCTGACCTCTTTGAGTTCTCTCGGCGTCGGGTCGGCCAAACGGTCATGCCGCCTCGCTTCTGCGCGTGGAACTGTCGCGCCTTGCTTCAGGCTGCGGGTGGGAAGGCTAGCGTCAAGAGGGGTTACTGGGCCCGGCTTCGCCCACGGTGTGCCATCATATCTCTGCAAGAAGTTCATCAGGACGAAGTGCAACTTCGTCGGTTTCTCGATTCGCTGTCCTGATGTCTCTGTCTACACGAGCTACTGCGGCGATGATCGTGCTGTTCGGATCCGCAGGGGCGTGGCCATCCTCCTTCCTCATCTATCCTCGGTTGTTGGAGATCCTGCTCGCGTCGAGCTGGTGGCTCTGTCCTCCTCCTTCGTGTGTCCGTGGGCCCGCTGTCCCTCTGCGTCGTGAATGCTTGCAACCATGAGGTTGCAAGCATTCGCCGCAGAGGTTGCCGCGCGCCGCCTCGGCCATCGCCGCAGAGGTTGCTGCCGCCTCTGCCTCTCCTTCTCCCTCTGGGCGACTTGTCGTGGTGAATGGACGACTTCATTCTCTCGAGCGACGGGTCCCTCTGCCTGTCTTCTCCGACGGCGACTGTCTCTCGGGCCACGCGCCGCCGCCGCGGTCGAGCTGCTCCACGGGCGCGGGTGCTCCGCAGTGTCGTCGAGATCGAGGTCGGCGAGCCGACCCGCTATGAGCGCGCCAGCGACCGCGCGAACTTCATCGACAGGGTCCACGTCTCCCTCGCGAGCCGGCAAGTCTGTCGGCTCCAGGTCTCCCCGGCGACGGCGGGGGCGGCCGCCGGGGTGTCTGACGCGAAAACCTCGGACCACGTTGCCATCGTTGTCTCTCTTGCCTCTCGCGCTCCGCGCCCTCCTTGTCGGGGCCCCCTCGTTCGGGCCCGTCTTCGAGGGTCGGTCGAATCCGTTGATTGGCCCAGCGTGTCTCCGCTTGTGGTCTTGAACGGCATGGGGGGCCAATGAGAATCGTGGGGGCGGAGACCAGGGGCACCATGTAAAGGGGCGCGCCCCGCCGCCCCAGGACGTTGTTGCAGGTGGCCCGTAGATTCGCCCGTGTGATCTGGTGGCAGGATCTCAAGCTTGCTGTAGATGCATGCTCGAGTCCCGCCCCGTGGTTTCTGACGCATTGGGGCTCTCCGGGCCCGAGTCCCGCCTGAGGCGCCCGCCTTCTTTCGAGCAGTGGGTCTGCAAAGTCGAGCTGGAGGCTCTTCTGGCCCAGAAGTCGGAGCTGGTGTTGCGTCGATCGCAGGCAGGGGCCGCGTTTCATTACAGAGCCCAGCTTCGCGCCCTGGACAGGAAAGCTCAGCTGTGGTCTCCAAATGGGAAGCGCATATCCTTATCTTCTGTTCGGCGTGCTGACGATCGTGCTGCGGCTGGCCCGTGCGACCGCCTCGCTGCCCTGTCTGAACGCTGGCGCCCTGTCTTCTCGCGCTAACCTGGGGGCCGAGACCTTGCTGCCGAATGTGTTCCTCAATGGCTGCCGCTGGTTGATGACCTTCATATTCCACCACCCTCTCTACATGTGCTGCGGCGCTCCCTGGTGGTCGCGAGGGATTCAGCCCCTGGGGTTGGTGGCCTTCCCGATGCGGCCTGGTCTGTGGAGAAGTTTGGGGGGGTGCCCTGATGGGCGCGCCGGACTGGATCTGCTCTGGGCAGACCCTCTTCGACGAGGCATCGTCGGCCCTGCAGGCCATCCTCCCGAAGGCCCGAAGGCGGTGTCTGATCAGGAGCTTGCTCGAGGAGAGTGCGCTCGTCCTGCCGACAGGGTTCGCGCGCTCGGGCTGCGCAGCGCGGACGTCGAAGTCCTGTCGCCGGTGATGAATCGCGCGATCGCGCCCACCCTGCGGACAGCGGCAACGCCCCTGCCGACGTGGAGATCTGTGCCATCTCGTAATTTCGGCTACGACAGTTTGGAGTTGGATGCGCTTGCCAGACAGCTGTCGCTGACGCCGCCGCCCTCTCGGTGCATTCCCCATCCTGTTCTCCCTGGACTTCGACCAAGCCTTCCCGTCTCTGAACCAAGGGTTTGTATTGTTCGTCCTGGCGGTTCTGGGGGTGCCCCCTGAGCTCCAGACGTTTGTGGATTATCTCTGCGCGGCCATCGAGGACGTGACCTCCTCTGGCGGCGAGTTCATGCGGATCTCCTGGGTTCGCAGCGGCATCGTCCAGGGTGGCGGCCTCTCTGGGCCCCTGTGCGCCGTCGCGTCTGCGGTCTTCCTGCGGGATCTCTGCGAGTGCATTGAGCGGGCCAGGCGCGGCCTCATCAAGGCGTGTGCTGACGACGTCTGCGGCGCCATCTCGCATCGCCGACCTCGTGCCGGCCGCGCAATGCGTCTCGCAGCCCTCCTGGCCAACCTCGTCGTCAAGGCGTCCACTGGCGTCCGCGTGTCTGGTGGCCCTCCTGTCTGGGCCCTTCTGCACTTCGTCGGCTGCCCGCGCGGCTGAGGAAATCGCTCGTCTCTTTTCGTGATTCGGCTTCCGAGCCGCGCTCCCGGGCGTTGGCTTTTAGTTAAATCATGCGCGAAGCCCAGACAGCGCCCATGAGCGCTCAGGGATCAGACATTTTGTTGCCCTTCAGGGGTAATGCCAACATCCAATGTTGAGGAATCTATTGGGCCGAGGACACCCACCTCAGTGCCTACGGCACGGTGGCGGAGATTTTAAGACGAACGGCTGCGACGCCCCGGCGAGAGCTACATTTTGAAACCGGGCGGTCCTTTATCCGCGTACTCTGTTTAGAAACTCGCGAGGCGAATCTGCGCGGCGGCGGGAACTAGATGTTGACAACCAGGACCAGCCGCCCTCCATCCGTGCAGCTGTTGAAAATGCAAGCTTCATGGTCGTAAGCTGCAAGGGTGTGTCAGGCGAAACGCCTGGACCGCCGCACTGGCAAAACTGGTGATGCGACGAGGAGGAGGGATGGTTGAGGGTCCTTCCTTCTCCTCCGTCTCCACTCCCTCGTCGCCCTCGACCCTCCTACCTCTCCTCTCCTTCTCGTCTTCCGACGTCGGCGACGGGAGGCGACGATGAGGACGATGCTAAGCCCGACAACGTCGTCCTCCTCGCCCTCCGTAAACCTCCCTGGAAACACATGTCAGAACATCGCTTAAGTCTCATATCAATTCCGAAAAACCGCCACGACGATACTCCGCTCAGCCCGACAATGACGACGGGGCCGACGTCGATGACGGTCACGACGATGACGACGACGATGACGACGGTCACGATGACAACGACGACGATGACGACGGTCACGATGACGACGACGGCGGCGACGACGACGACGACGACGACGACGACGACGACGACGACGGTCACGATCACGACGACGACGACGACGACGACGACGCGACGGTCACGAGGCCGGCGAAGATGACGACGAAATCGACGTGGCCGACGGCAGCCGCCCGCCCCGAGGCCGCCCCGCGGCCGCGAAGGCTCGGTCGGGCGGCCGGGCGCCGGCCGGGCGCCCCGCCGCGGAGAAGGCCGCGCCGCGGGCCGTCGCCGCGGCCGCCGGCAGGCTGCTGCCGCCGCCAGCCAGCGACCCCTCGGAGGCTCTTAGGGCGGGCCCTCAGCGCGCCCTGAGGGCACGCCCTCAGGGCGGACCCTCGGGATGCGCCATCAGTGCTATCAGGGCGCGCCATCGGGGGCCCCGCGGGAGCCCGACGGAAGCCCGACGGAGGCACATCAGTGGGTGGCGGCAGCGCCGGCGGCATCGTCGTCGCCGCTGTCAACTTCGTCGTCGTGACCGTCGTGTTGTCGCTCTCGTAGTAGTCGTCGTCGTCGTCGTCGTTGTCGTCGTCGTCGCCGTTGCCGTCGTCGCAAGACCCCTCCCCAAGTTGATTAAAGAAGAATCCTTGGTGCTAGATGTGCCCCTTTGCTGTGCGGCATCCTCTCCAAGGTAAGCCCCTTTGCTGCGCGGCACCTTCTGCCGGGCAAGACCCTTCCCCAAGTTGATTAAATCAGAATCCCTGGTGCTAGACATGCCTTTTGCTGTGTGTATGGAACGAGTTCGGCCCCTGGTTCCATCGCACACATTCGCTGGCCCCAGGCGCACGCGGCGGACGCAGGCGCGAGCAGTCGCCGCGCCGCCGCTTGGCTCGCGCGCGCCGCGGCGCGCCGCAGGCGATGTGGGCAGGCCCGCGCGCCCCCGCGCGCGGCCGCTGCCCGCCGCGGCCGCGCGCAGGTACCACAGGTTTGTGTGTGCCTGGGGCGCGCGCCCCGCGCTCGGGATTTGAGCGCCGGGCGCGCGCGACCGCGCGCGTTGGCCGTCGCCCCGCGCGCCGCCGCCTGCTCGTCGCTGCCGCTTGCCGCCGCTTGCCTGCTCGCTGCGTGCTGCGTTGCCCTGCGGTGCTGCTTGCCGCCGCCTGCCTGCTCGTTGCGTGCCGCTTCGCCTTGCGCCGCCGCCTGCCCCTGCTTGCTGCTTCCGCGCGCGCGCGCCGGTCTTCGCCGCGCTGCCCTCCTGCCCCTCGTGCAGGTTCCCTCCCCCTTCCTCCCGCGCGCGGTGCCTCCGCCGCTGTCAGGTTCCTTCCTCCCTCGCCTCCCCCCCGCAGGTACCGATTCCCTCGTCGTTTTGCCGGACTCGAAAAGATGCCAGGACGACTTCCCGTTACTCTGCTAGTGACTACGGGACCTAATTTAGGTCCAGTCTGCGTTTCGGCCTAACGAGGTCGTTGCAGGCGCGATTCGACGCCAACGCCGCATCCGAGCGTGGGCCGCGTGCGAACGACCGAACGTGGTCAAATTAGACGCAATTCGACGTCTACGCCGCAGCCGTCCGACGTTAGCAAGCGTACGACCGAACTAGGTCCGACTAGACGCAATTAGACGTCTACGCCGCATCCGAGCGAGGATAGCGAGCGAACGACCGAAAGAGGTCAAATTAAGACGCAATTCGACGTCTAAGCCGCATCCGACGAGGATAGCGAGCGAACGACCGAACAAGGTCCGATCAGACGCAATTCGACGTCTACGCCGCATCCGAACGAGGATAGCAAGCGAACGACCGAACGAGGTCAAACTAAGACGCAATTCGACGTCTACGCCGCATCCGGACGAGGACAGCGAGCGAACGACCGAACTAGGTCCGATTAAACGCAAGTCGACGTCTACGCCGCATCCGAACGAGGATAGCGAGCGACCGACCGAACGAGGTCAGATTAAGACGCAATTCGACGTCTACGCCGCACGTGTGGCGCGCGAGCGCACTTCCGAGCGGGGGCTGTTCCGACGAGATTCGACTTCTGCGCCCCCTCCGTGCACGCTTAGCGCGCGTCATTTAGGTGGCCAAACGAGGCCCGCGTGTACGTGGTCGGCTTCGGTGCGCGAGCTGCAGCCGAGCGCGGACAGAGTGCGCACGAGCGCGTCATGCGCGTTAACAGGCGGCGCCCGCTCGCACCCATGGCGGATTTGCAAGCTTTTCTGTCTGGCGTCGACGCGCGCGCAAAGCGCGACGAGGAATACCTCCGCGACGTCATTGCAGCACTTCGCGCGAATTCTGTCACGGCGAGCGCCGCGCGCTTTCTCGGTCCGTCTGTCGCGCGCAGCGCGTGCCAGGTTGAACGTGACGTAGTCGGGCTCAACATTCATGAGAGTTCGTTCGACAAGGGCGGCGTCAACGGTGGGGAGGTAGCCTTCCTCGACCGTGCCGTCAAGCGTGCCGCAGAGAACGCCGCCAGGGCCGAGGCGGGGCGCATGGCCGCCGCCTGCGGCGACGACGGGGCGGCGCGGGGGTCGAATGACCCTGTCGCTGCGCTAGTGGACGCACTCGCGCGCAAGCCGACTGCGGCCGCGCACGTCGACATCGGCGCGAAGCTGGGCGACATCCGCCTCGGCGATTTGCCGTCTGCTTGCTGGCCGTCGCCGGCGCCGTGCGACTGGCTCGACAGCCAGGCGCCCACGCGCGCGCGGTGCATCGCTCAGCGTTCGCGCGTGGCGCTTCGGAGCGGCGCAGGTCAAAGCGGCCCAAGCGAAGGGGATCGCTAGACCGTTCATTTACAGCGATTTGAAGAAGTGGCTGCCACACTGGGCGGTGGAGAAGTGCGGCGGTCAGGACGGCGCGGACGCGAACAAAGAAGGCGCGCTCTTTCGGCGCGCGCATTCTGGGCGGAGCCGCCGCCTCGCGCGGGCTGTCGCTCATGCCCTGGTCGGTCGCATTCGACCGGTGGGCCCTGGCCGCGAGCTTCGCGGGCCAGATTGAACTGGCCGCCGCGATGGCGCACAAGGACGTCGTCATGCAGATCGCACTGCAGGCGAACACCCTTCCCTGGTCTCGCGCCCGAGGCCGGCCGCCGCCCGCGCGCGTTGCGGGCAGGCGCGCGGGGTGCACAAGTCCACAGCCCTGGCGGTCATCTATGACGAGCTGGCCAGGCGGGAGTGGGCCGATCGCGCCAGTGGCTCCAACTCCTTTGACGTCAACCGCGACGCGCTGCAGCAAGAGCAGAGCCTGTACATGCGCGCCGAGCGCGAGTACACGGCTCGCGGGCATCCCAACCTCTCCGATCGGCAGCAGAAGGGCAGCAGCAAGGGCGCCCCCCATGCGGAGTCCAAGGGGAAAGGCAAGGGCAAGTCCCAGCATGCCGAGAGCGACAAGGGCTGGGGCAAGTCCTGGGGGCCCAAGAGCTGGGGCAAGTCCTGGGAATCGCGGGCCCACGCGAAGGGCAAAGGCAAGCACGACGCAGCGCGAGGCACAGAGCAGCCGCGCACGCCGAAGCGCAAGCGCGAGGATTGAGGCGCGAGCACCGTCGCGCGGCCGGCAGCGCGCGCTCGCGCGCGGAAAGCGCGCCCAGCCCAGGCTTGGCGGAGCGCGAGAGCGCGGGCATGCCCGCGCCGAATTTGCCAGATGGCAGGTCTCTCTCTCTGCATCACAGGCGCGGCGCGCGTCCGTCGCGCGCGGGCGCCCCGAACCCTTGGGCGCCGTCGGCCGGCAGGCGCGGTTGCCAGTGACGGCCTCTGGGGCAAAGTGCCCGTCGGAAGACCGGAGCGCACCAGTGCCTGGCGGGCGGAACGCTGCAAGCAGTGCCGCGGCGGGCTCGTGGCTCCCGCGTTTTGAAGAATTGGCGTCCAGCGCCGAGGCGGAGAGCGCGGCCGCGATGCCCCGCGCCTTCCGCGCGCCAGCGCCGCAGCGTCGCAGGGGGAAGACAAGGCAAATATCGACTTTGTCATTGACGCCGCGTCGAAGGGCACGGCGTGGTTTCAAGACGCCGCGCCCCTGCGCGACGATCTCCGCGCCTGTGTCGACTGGGCAAAGTCGCGCAGTTGCCGGCAGGCGCGACAGTCGCAACTCGCGCGCGCCACCCCGCGCGCGCCGCGCGGCAGATCTTCAGCGAAAGGGAGGCCGCGATTACAGCCATAGAGGCGCGCTGCCGCGAGTCGAGACGTTCGGGGGCCCAGCGGGCCTGGCTGGACGGCGTTGACGCGGCGGCCAGAGCCGCAGTCTCCGAGGTCGACGGCCCGACCCTAGGCGCCATCGCGACCGAGATCGGTTGGGGCGACGACGTTGAGCGCCTATTCCGCGAAGGGGCGCCGTTCGCGGGCGCGCTGCCAGCCCCCGGCGTCGCCGAGCGTCGCGTGGCCCGCGAAGAGCGCGAGCCCGTCAGCGATCTAATGGGCCGCGCGGAAGCGCAGAATGCGGCGATCATTGCTAGTCTCCGCGACGACGCTCGCGCTGCCGAATTGCATGCTGGGGCAGTGGCGGACGCCGCACTCGGGCGAATGACATCGCCAGTGCTGGTCGACGATTTGGCACTGCATGATGAGATTTTGGCACCTCGCTTCTCAGTAGCGCAGGGGAACAAGCCAGACGGCTCTCCAAAGGCTTGCGCGCCGCGCGGCCTGGCGTCGGCCGCGCCCGCGCGCCGCAGCGCAGGTGCGATGCGTCGACGACTATTCTCGCGCGAGGGTCAACGGCGCTACGTGGAGGAAAAATGGCGCCACGACACGATAGACCAGTTGGTTGCACTGGCAAGTGCCTTTCACGAGGAGGTGCGCCGCGCGCAATCCAACCTGCAGCGGCGCGTCAATCCCGTGCGCGCGCAGATTTCGATTGAGCTCGAATTTTGGAAAGCGGACGTGGACTCCGCCTTCAGGCGCGTGCCGGTCCTGCCTAGGCACCGCGCGGTCGCATGGGTAACCTACCGCCTGCGCGGGCGTGTCATGGCCGCCCAGCACATCACGCTGCCTTTCGGGGGCCTGGCCTGCGTGCACGGATGGGAGCGCGCGGGCGCCTGCCTGGCGGCCGCGGCGCGCAAGCTGCTGTGGCTCCCGGCGTTGCGCTACGTTGACGACTTCTTCTCGGTTGAGAGGAAGGGCCTCGCGGAGCACGCCGACACGTGCTTTGCGAGGCTGGTGCGCGCTCTCCTCGGGCCCAGCGCCATGCAGGACCGAAAGATAGCGTGGGGCCCGTCGATCGTGATCCTGGGGCTGCGCGTCCGGTCGTCGGCATCGGGCTTCCACGTCAAGCTCGACGGCGATAAAGTAAAGCAGT